TTCCCCATAGTTGGGTTTATTTCTTGGGACTGCTGGCTTCCTACCGACCGCCATACGTGCCAACACATGCTTGGCTGGAGGTATCTCTCACAACGCTGGATCTCTACCTCTCCTTTTGCAAGAAAAAACTTGGTTACCGTTTCCACGCGTATATTCATTACTAAGTCAGCCTTGTTTGAGTGTGAGTCTGTATTTCGTCCCCCCTTCAATTGATACTGTTTCGTGACTTATATGTATACAAGTTCGGTCTACTTCCCACAGGTTAAAGTTATTGAGTCGAGCATTCCACTCCTCGCTGCGAAACATACCTAAAAAATTCTTCTAATTAGATACATGCTGATCGACTTCTGGTTAAATCACTCCATAATTGATGACAAGGACGCAAATCTTGAAAGTGAGTTCTCACTGGATCGGTCGAACAATTCTTGAGCCTCGTGCGGATTAGACGATTCTCTGTTCGATTGGAAAGATGACTCTAAGTGGCTTGCATTGTGACAAAAGAATTACTGCACGTCCGGGGAGTTTAATCGTTCAAAAGTTTAAAGCTGGATACACTGGTCACTTCGTTTTAAAACACCTCGGCATACTCCGCATGCGAGTTCGAATAATATTCGTATCCCTGTACTTTCAATTTTTATCCAAGGATGCCTCTAGCTCGTTTTCGGTGCGAGCTGTCGTCTCGTGGTAAACATTTAGGGTAAAAATGACTCAGACCTTTTCTATCGAGTTTAAGTATGAGTTGTAAACAAGCCACAAAATAGCGAGCAGCATTCTATCAAATGTAAACATATCTGATATCGGTTTCTAGCATTCGACCGACTCGGCTTGGTTTGTCATGGCTTCTGCTGTTCCTTGTACCAAGGTACCCGTTTTACTGTCATGGAAAGCATCAATTCTGAATTTATCGATATCAATTGTCTGATCGGTCTAACAGGGGATGAAGTGACAAAGCAGCTCATTTACGATGATGCGTAACCACGCCAATATGCCACAAAATGAATCAATNGAATCAATATGTATATATATGCCCACAAAGGAACGGCAAAATCCGGCTATCACAATGTAAATCAGCAGTGGAGCGCACTATTACCGTGGGAAATCCTTCCAAGTTGTTCTGTCTCTTCGGAGTCCTCGGTGTGAGCGAAATCATCGGTTCCCCCATTTCAAATGATTAGCGTCGTATTGTACACTGATCGGAGCACTTTCATTCACGAGTTACCTAGCCCACAATGTTATACTTTATCACAGCAACTCTTGATCCACCTTTTGAAGCGAAAATCGGCAAGATAAGAAGACAACATCGCGCCCGAGCTCCGATGGCGTTTCCTTAACCCTACTTAAAAGATGGTACGATGACACTCGTTAGAGAACTGCCAGCTCCGTTCTACGAGGTTTGTAATTCAGGTCAGGTTCGGGTCTGATTCACTTGAGGCACTGGGGAATCGATTGAGTTGTCTTAACCCAATGAAAAGGCAGAAACAATGTAGAACAAATATCGCATAAATTTTGTCTACATTGGAAGAAATCACAGCCCGAGCTGAATCACTGGACCATTTTCGAAGGTAGATCCAACAGGATGAAAGTATCGTGTGTGTTCGCATTCTTCAGAAGACCGCAAACGTTAGTGGTCAAATGCGGCGTCTGATACAGTTGGCTTAGTGTGTTGTGCACGCCGTTCGGCAATCCACGCCTGAATGGCAGCACGAAGCTCCGGTTGTGGTTGTACCTGAGCCATCGCAAGCGGTTGCCGGTTGAAGGGGTCTGTCGAGTCACTGCAAAAACAAACACCAGAAAGTGACTGAGACAAAACAATTAATTGAGAAACAATACGAAGAGCAATTTGCGCACTGGAACTCATCGAAGTGGAAGCATCCTTAGTTTGCTGTAAATGAACAATACCCTGGTTTCTGAAGGCAATCATGAGTTGATACATCCATCGTGATGACACAGCACTACTATCACCCCACGTATCAATTCTAGTCTTACGAATTATGATGACATTGGTTACTATATTTGATAGGTATGTTACCGTAACAATGGCATTCATTCGTTCTGTTATTCACACCATTATTTCAACACGTAACCAACTACTGAGAACTGGCAAATGTGCCACAACATTTGAACAAAAAGTCTGTACAATATTTTCATAGGTTGGGTAGACATGTTACTTCTCGGTTGCCCTGACCGAGGAAAGGGAATAATCTCGGGGTCCTCACCTGAAGCCTTTGGCCAGAAAGACAGACCTTAAAGACAAAAGGACGGAGCTCAGAGTCCGCAGTCCATTGGTGGCCGGTGTCCAGTTTATTGGATCATACGCCCTTTGGACGGGGTCAAAGGTCCAAGGTGAACTAACAATGGTTCAAGCCAGTTAGAGCTCCGGCTGTCGGCTTTTCATCCTCTCACTTTGGTGGAAAACACCCTCACCACGAGAAGGCAGTGAGTAGGGCTTCCTCAGCAGAGGCTGTTTGAGACGCTTGGCCGTGTGGGAGCATTTCGCGAGGTGTAAGGGAGTGGAGACTAGTCACAATCAGAGACATCCAACCCGACCATTGTGAGGCCTTCGGGGGCTATTCACACTATGATGTATCGATAAAGTAACTTAACTTCGTCAAAAATGAGCATCATCCGGGTGTTTCTCTATTGTATAAGTGACTGAGAACTCACAATAAAAATGATCTACAAAAATTCATTCTGGGAATGGTGTTCAAATTGTTTGCGCATTAGAAAGCTGTTGCATTTAAGGTGTATCCGACAGGATAAGATGATAAGAAGAAGATAAGATCATGTCGAGATTACCTCATTTGAAGAATGAGGTTCACAAAAAATGGAGTAGCTCCGACACCGACTCCTGATTGATGATCTTCGGTTTCTTAGTCGTCTTGAGTAGACATGAAGGAAATTGTTTTTCAAACGGTATCTCGTAATAAAATACAGCCTCTGGAAGTCTCAGTATGGTTAGGATGGGTGTCTCGGGTTGTGACTGGTCACCATTCTCTTACACCTCGCAGAACGATCCCATATGACCATCCGTCTCAAACAGCCTCTGCTGAGAAAGCCCTACTCACTGTAGGAGTGTTTCTCACCAAAATGAGATGACGAAAAGCCAACATCCGAAGCTATAACCGCGTCGGTCAACCACTAAAAGAGTTGGATAATGGGCCTGATTCCAAACCAAACAAGAGAACCACACATAACTTGATGGTTTTGACAGTGGTAACCGGCCCGATATGGCACCTTGGGCCTTTGACCCCGTCCAAAGGGCGTATGATCCAATAAACTGGACACCGGCCACCAATGGACTACGGACTCTGAGCTCCGTCCTTTTGTCTTTAAGGTCTGTCTTTCTGGCCAAAGGCTTCGGGTGAGGACCCCGAGATTATTCCCTTTCCTCGGTCAGGGCAACCGAGAAGTAACATGTCTACCCAACCTATGAAAATATTGTACAGACTTTTTGTTCAAATGTTGTGGCACATTTGCCAGTTCTCTGTAATTGGTTACGTGTTGAAATAATAAATAATGAGTTAATTTAGTTTTCTCAAAATATAGCAACGAACAGTTAACTTTTACATTTAGAAGAAGAACACACGGTATAACCAGGAAATCTGAATTCAAATGAACTTTGTTGTAACACTGGGCTAGATTGCAAGAACAACATGGTGTCTAACAACTCACATGCAACCAATGAAAATACATCTTGATTATGGAAAATTCTCATCTCGACATGGACAGAAAACGCAGTGGTTTTGACGAACAAGCTCGTTTTTGACAACTTCTTTTTCTGGATAATACATTTATATAGTCAAAATAAAATTAAAACCAATCAAATCAATGGCTATGAGATTCGTGGTTTGTGACTGTCTTTAGTGTGTGGTTGGGAAAGGGTGAGTAGGTAGATAGTCAAAACCTTTCCCATAACCCCATGACCCTAACGCGTGATGATATGTCCACATCCTAATCGTTTTTCCCAACCGTGCTACGATCACATCCTTTCTACCCACACACACCTAAGACAATCACAAACCACGAATCACACATAGCCATTGACGAACATTTTAATTTTATTTTGACTATACAACTATATCCGCCCGAAGAAGTTGTCGAAAACGAGCTTGTTCGCTAAAACTACATTTTGATTAGTTGCAATTTTAATTGTTCCTATCTTCTCAAAATGGACCGAGATGAATAAAAGGATTCACATTCAAATGGCAAGAGCTCTTACTTTAATAGATGACGATATATAGTTTTCCGATCGACCACGTGTCCGGAGGTGGGCAATTTGACAGGATCTTCCATAACGTGACCCATGATCGGATCGATAAAATCGTCCGGTGCGTCGTCCACATCCAAGTCGTCTTCCATTTTTACAACATTTTCATTCTGAAAGTGGGAGAGGTCACACAATGGTGCTTAGCGCAATACACGTTTTTGAAATACTATCTCATTGTGTCCTGGAAACTGAGTGATTTAGATTTTTCAATTCACAGCACAAAATATGTCTCGTGATCGGGCTTCGTTCGACTTGTACTATCAAGAAAACATAACTTACATACATCACAGTACTTGCTGCGCGAATAAACGTGGGAATTTTTACGGGTTTGATATTACCGTTCTACCTTACCACGCATTTTTGAACGCGAGGAACTGTGTTGGGTGATGATACACATCGGGCACCAAAATCATGGGGATACTTGAATTTGTCAGACCGGTTTGGACAAAGAGAATAGCACAACAATATATTCTTTATACAGTGCTCCCTGAGCGCACAATTAACTAGACACAAGGTGTAAATATTCAACACTTGGGTGATCCACGAAGGTTACAGCAAAACTATTAACTTTGCGTAAAAATTCATTCCCGGACTCTGATCTCGCTAGCCAATAACACTTCGAAACCTCTGGCTGTTCTTCACCAAGGGATGTTCAACGAGGCAGTAATTTTGCAGTCATGGAAGGAAGGGGTGATTTCTCCCATTTACAAAAGGTGATCTCGCAGTGATCCAGTCAACTACCGCCCTGTTTCACTTCTTCCGATATTGTCGAGTCATGGAGGCCATTGTGGCAGATCTGTTGATGGAATATCTGGAGAAGCATGACCTTTTGTCTCCAACTCATCACGGATTTCGGCAAAAGCGTTCGTGCACCACAAATCTACTTCTTGCACGAGATGAGTGAGCAAAATCCGTCGATGCAGGCCAGCCATTGGATATAGTTTATTTGGACTTCTCCAAAGCATTTGATCGATAAAACCACCAAATTCTACTGCGAAAACTCTACAACTACAGAGTAAGAGGTTTGGTTCTGGACTGAATCAAAGAGTTATTCCGACAGAGAACATGTCAGTTTGTGTTGGTGATTCATTATCAGAGCCTATCACCGCTGTCCGAGGGGTTCCTCAAGGAACCGTACTGGGATCTAGTCTCTTTCTTGCATTTATAAATGACCTGCCACATGTCCTTGAACCTAATACACTGCCATTTGAGGACGACGCTTAGGTCTGGCGGATTATACAGCACTCCAACAAACGATCAATGCAGCCCACCGATGGTCAATCGCCAATGACATCGAGTTCAACGTTTCCAAATGCAGAGCTATTTCCATTTGCCACAAGACTCGTTTCTCCTATGTTAGGGGAACCGCATGCCACTGACGAAAGGAATTCGAGAGTTATGGTACAGGTGAACATAAGATGTTGCACGCACTGTTCCAGAGCATCATACATGGCTATAAAGTAAGTTGGACTACTCAAAGGTGCTTTTGGACAGTTCGAAAAAGCACTGTTCCCACGCTTGTTGTCAACGTTCGTTCAGCCACACACGGAGTACGCCGTTCAAGAATGGTCTCCATGGTTAAACCACGACAAGAAGGCTCTATACCTTTTTCAGTTAAAGATGTCCGAATATCAATTTAAGATGTCACAATATGAATTTAAGATATCATGTTGCCATGTGGATAGTACTTTGCACAGTGCAGAGTGAAGACGTTCGATGGGACTCCTGTTTGCCCAGATCCATGTGCGTCCTATCTGCATACTGATCTATGGTCCCCGAAAATATTGTCCCACGCTCAACAAAAATATACACCGACGATCATCTTGTCTGCTTGTTTGCACACACACACGGATTGGACAATTCAACCCACATTTCAGTCAGAGCTATGCAACCATGTGCAAACCGACGAAGGCTTGGTTGAATACGAAACAAAAAGGAGCGCTTTAGGATTTGGTGGGGTCTCTCAAACAATGACCACATTTCCCACTTGACCCAGCAAATGAGCAATTGACTGAACAGTGCTCACCACGAACGTTCATGGTCTCATGAATAAAGTGTTCTCGGTACAAAAGGGGTGATAGCGGACGACGTGAACTGGGAGTAGGACGGTGCACACTTTTTTGAACGTGGGACGATATTTTCGGGGGCCATAAATCAGTATGCAGGTAGGACGCATATGGATCTGGGTAAACAGGGGTCCCATTGAACGTTTTCACTCTGCACTGTGCAAAGTACTATCCACATAGCAATATGACACCTTAAATTGATACTCGGACATCCTAAATTCATATTGTGACATAACTTGATATTCGGACATCTTAAACTGAAAAAGGTAAAGAATGTCCCTGGCGGTTGGCAACAAAATTGGTAAAAGGTCTGTTTAACAAGCCACACTCCGAAAGACTGAAAATATTGGAGCTCTACTCATTT